TTTTTGAAGTGTGATCTTATTTTGTATACCGTCTCTTATGACCTTTATCATTGTGAGTTTTGAATAGTGTCTGGTAATAAAGTTAGAGATAGCAAAAATTTTCTCATGTGTCCCCTTAGAGAATAAGTCAGGTATTGTGACATCTTGTTTCAGCTTTTATACTTTTTTTTCCTTTTTATCATGAATGTGTGGTTTGTTTGGTTGGGTTTTTCTCCTCCTATACCCTGAGAGAAGAGCAAGGATATGCTCTAATTTTCCATTCTTCCTTTGACACTGGCAGCTGAAATAATAAGATAAAAGAGCCTATGAGAAGGTGATTCAGAAAGCTACTTGTAATGGACAGTCCACTAGACCTGTATTGTGGAAAGTTTGCAAGGCAGACTGCATGAAACACTGCTGAACCTTTGAACCCAAAGTTATTTGGTCTTTAGGGCTTCTCATACATGTAGTCTTTCAAGTCCTACTTTCAAGAGTTTTAATTGATTTGAGTGACTTCATGCAAGATTTTCCTAAAGGTACTGGGAATAAAATGCTTGGGTAACTCTTTAAAACTTTTCCAGTTTGGTAGAGAATCTTCTGCTATACATTTAGTTTCAAAAATACTGGGAGAGAAAGCTCATTTCCTCTGAAAAAGCTACAGGAGCCTTCAGCTGAGTCCTTTCTCTCTTCTGAGGTATTTTGTTGTGCAGTGGCTCACAGTGCTGGCCCACTTGGCCATGTTACCTAGGAAAGAGGCCTGTTCTGGACCATTGAGGCTTGTGGTAAAAGCATCAGCGTTAAACTTGACTGGTCCTCCTGCTGCCCAAGTCTGTGGGTGCAGAGTTCCAGGACTGCTCATCATTTAGACAAGTCTTGTTAGTTTGGATAGCTCAAGCGTTTGGAGCACTAAATGCTCACTACTCCTTAATGGTTTGTGAAGTTCAGGTTAAAACAAGCTTATATGAAAGCTAAAATGCTTTATTGTTATATTTTGATCTGTCATTAATATGAAATGAAGATGTCAAAAGTAATGATACTTTTGACCATGATAACCTCTTGTGTATCATTGAACTGAGATAATTGCTAGAGTGTTTTAATTTGTCCAGTTAAGTTCATAGTCCTTACTAATGGATCCATTAGCTTTTTTAAAAATGCCACATGTTGATCTCATGGAAAAATCAAATAGTCAATATAGGAAGCATGGTTGCTTCAAATTGTAGTTGCTTTGCCTGAAGAAATACTGGCAGCCTCCAGTCAGAGGCCTAATTCTACATTAAGAATCCTCCTGCTTTTTTATTTTTATATTTTTACTGTTACCAAACTGAAAAGACTCCTTCAGAAATACATACTGTTAAACTGTGTAGTGCAATTCAAACTTTTGTCAATCCAAGTTCTGTTTTTTCCTAGTCAAAAATAGATGAACTTTTAGTTATGTCAAATATGACTTTTATGTCACTAGTCTTTACATACTTCCTTTACATACTTCCTTTCCATACTTCCTTTTCTTTACTGCAAAACCCTTTGGCAGAGAGTGGACTTCTCTTGTAAATGGGTCTGTGATCCAATTTTTGTTTGTTAGTGGTGAGAAAGGTGTTCTGATTTGGGGGCTTATTTTGGTTTGGAGTTTTACTTGGTTTTTTATAATTAAGTTTGATGGCTCAAATTCAGTCAGCATACCTTCATGTTAGTTTTGAGATCAAAGTGAATTTTCACTTTGAATTTTTCACTTTCAGTTGCAGCAAGGATCTTTTTAAAGTTTGCCAGAGATGGCAATTTTCTTCTTCCTGTGCTATAAGCTACAGCTCACAGCGCCTTTTGTTTTGTCAAGAACATTTGAAAAGCACTGCAAACCAATATCGAGTTCATTGAGTTGTGCAAACCAGTTAAATGACTTAACTATGGCTCTTGACAGCCCCAATGCAGGCTTAAAACAGGAGTTTAGAGCTAAAATCTCTGTGGGAAACCTGTGCTTCAGAACAAGGCTCAAGGAGAGCTGGAGCTTCTCCACAGCTGAGTCTTTGGTTGCTTCTGACTTTGTTGCCCAGAAGTGGAAGTTCCCATGAGTTCCGTGTGTCTGCTTTGGTAAAATTGGTCAGTGTTGTGACCCGTCACGTGCATTTTAGTGTGTTTGGTGTTTTGCACTCAGTAGAGCTAGTGTTTGAATTTGAGTAGAGAATAGGCTGGTGCACTTAAACCACTCATCTCCTATATTTGACCTCTATAGATTAAGTTTTTTAAATTTCTGGAACAATTAATCTTTAGCTGTCATTTTTTATTCAGATATTACCTGTGTCATCAAAATTAGTCAGTTGTGTCTTTGCTTTTCATTGCCTCTGTGCTTTCCATTAGTGAATATAAGAAATTTTGGAGCTTTTGTAGGAGGAGACCTCTGATGTCTTTGCACTAATGCTGGAGGGACTAAGGACTGCTTCCTTCTGTATACAGTCCATAGATTTTCTTTTACTCTGAATTGTGAAGTAATTGATTTAAGAAATTGCAATTGGACAGACAGTGTCAAAGCTTCTAGAACTCCTCCAGTATTTGTTGGTTGTAGCAGTGAAGTTACCAATAGATCCTAAAATCTCTTGGGCTGCCTTCTGCACGTGTTATAGTTTCCTTTTTTTCTCTCCATATGTGTATTGAGGAAATTTTTAGTTGGAGGGCAGAGAGATTGAACTTAGAGATCAGGTTCAAGTCAAGGTGTAGATGAAGGACATGCCACTCCATTTAGACAGATTTGGCTCCAGGATATTTTTTTTTTTGCTCCTGAGCAGTTCTAAGCACCTCAGATATTGCTCTGTGTGGCCTTGGATGTGCTTTAATTCCAAAACCTTTTAAGTCCCAAGAAGCTGCTCTTCTGTGTAAGAATTACCTGTTTTCCTAATTTTACAGCTGAGCTTTTATCTGCTGTACAAATTCATCTTCAACCACCCCATCCACACTTCAGCCGCAGGGCACTCACTACACATCCATGGTTTCTGAGCTCCTGCTAGCTTGCTCTGTGCAGTAAGTGGCACAGGTGAGTGTCTCTTTTGGATGGGTCCCCTACACAGGAGAGTGTTTCTGGGGGCAGTGGATTCTCCATTTATTTTGAACTTGCTGGTTAACATGAGATCATCAGGAGGGGCCCTAGCAGTGAGGAATGGACCTTCACAGGTTTGCCTTGGTAGCTTGCTGCATGCTGAAGGTTACCCCCAGCAGAAGGCCAGCCAGCCCGCTGTGTGCCAGATGACTGCACAGCACCCAACTACACACAGCCATCTCACATGAGAGCTATTAAATAAAATACTGTGCTACTGACACTTTCTTCAGCTGAAAGCATCAGAGGAATGTTAGAGGTGCTGGTGGCTTGTTTTTCCTTTAGATTTTTAGCAATCCAGTGCTATAACAACTCTCTGAAGATAAAGTCATTTGTAAAATAAAGGGGTTTGCACAGACTGGTTTCCAGCAAATGTGGGAAAAATATTCTTAGTAATGCTTTCCATATTTGGAGCTTACACTTAAAAATAATGGGAGCATCACTCCTTATGATAGCCCCAATAGGATTACAAAGCAATTCTGAGAGTGATGTGATAAAGTGCTATTCAATATCTGAAATTTCCTTTAAAAATGTGCTTTGTTTCCTTAACGCTCTAATATTTTTGCTATCTAAACCTATTTGCTGTCTTCCCTCAGAAGAAACTGCCTGTGATTTCCAAGGGAGTTTTGCCTAAGGTAGGGCTTGAAACATCAGGACCAGGAATTAGTGTAATGTGACCCACCATTTGTATTGCTTTGGGGTAAATTTGAGAGAGAAGATTTAACATTGTGTGTGTCATGCTGAGATATTGCAATATCTCGGATGGGTTATTAGGCACCAATCCAAAGGTTAAGTGCAGCAACCACATGAGATGTGGCTTTATCCTTACATGATCTGTGCCCGTGTTCTGTTTTGTAGTCCTCTGAAATAGGTAATATCCCTAGAATAAAACGTGTTTTTAAGACTTTTTTGAAGCCTATCCCAAGTTACTAAATGTCATTTCAGTAGAAAGGTGTTTGCTCACATCATTTGAAATCTAGAAATCAATCCTTGTATGTGTGGACTTACTGACGTTTTAAATGTGGATCCCAATGTGCACCAGATAAATATTCACGACCTTTGGGAAAGTCTAGGTATGAATTTGCAGTTCAGGATCTTTTCTAATTTACATGCATATATCTTTTTGGGGTTTTATTTTCCATGCTCTTTTTGCTTGGCTTACACTAAATAAAATGCTTCAATGGAGTGTGGTAGTCTAGCATTTGTTTTGCCTCGGGAGTGGATTGCCCCATCTTGCGTATCTGGTCAAGTAAATTGCTCTCTTGCCTGCATACTTCAATAATAGTACTGGGCTTTAGACCTTCCTGTACAACCCCCCAGTGAGCAGAACCACAAGGGGCTGGGCCTGTGTGGTGCTAGCAGTCTACTCTATTGTCATGGATGCATTCATCTCCTATTTACATAAATTAATAGTTAAAACTTGTTTGGTTGCTCAAGAAAACTCATTAAGCTTTCAGAGTATCTGTATCACGGGCACTGTGGCAATCGCTCCCATTGACTTATCTCCTGCTGATTCACTGGGAACCAGTCCATCTCGGGGTCAGGTCCCTAAGCTTCACTGCAGAACTAACAAATAGCATTTAAAAGAAAATGCAAATAATATGTGCCGTGCAAAGTGAATGTTGGTAAGCTTCCTTATAAAAAAGAGGTTGTGATTAAAATTTTTAAAAATAAAATCCTATTTTTGTCTGCAGGGCTAATTTTCTCTCAGGAAATAGATCATACTTTTTATCCGTTTTCTGCTAGTCGCTGGAGAATGTTTGACATTGTAAGAGAAAGGTCAGTTTGTATAACCTGAAGGAGGAGGAGAATGTATAATGTGAAAAGCTTGGCCAGATTTTTATTATTCTTATTTGAATGTTGTGCTTTACCCTTTTAGTTTATCCTCTTCACTACATGATTTTTATTTTTCTTTATTTCCTATTTGTTGGTTTTTTTGTAGATTGGAGAAAGAGAACATTCAGCACAGCATTAGCAATGAAGCAAAGGCCCGAGCCCTTCAGGCCCAGCAAAGAGAGCAGGAGCTGACACAGAAGATGCAGCAAATGGAGGCCCAGCATGAGAAAACTGGTAGGTGGTAGGGAAAGATTAGAGCCTGGGCACTCACTCACAAGCCAGGCCCACGCCTTACTGTGAAATGACATCAGGAACACCTGTAACCTTTGGCTGGCCGAAGGGAGCAGATGCTAACTACACCGGAGATTCCGAATTACATATTAGTTAGCGTTTAAAAGAGAAAATGGAAAGTATTGCCCACTGTCTGTTGATTTCAGAGTGCTGCTCTCACATCTGCTGCACCATCTGGATTATGAGTTTATTTACCTGTGTTCAAGAAACGTAAAGCTGAGAGAGACCACAACAAAGTAGAAAAACAAAGGGCTTGTTTTTGGCTGGATTTTCAGGCACACATGTTATATAAAGAAAATAGCATCAGAAGCTCTGCGGGAAATGCTCTGAGCTTACAGTTAAAGTCTCCTGAATAGCATTGAACAGTTCCCACAGTACACACATTATAGCTACTCTAAAAGCTTAATGAGTTTGCTTCGGCATCCAAACTGGAGAAAAGCTTTAGCCATTAATCGGTTCTTAATTCACTGTCGCAGCTGGATGTAATTCACTGGCTCCAAATTGATATGTTCCTTTATTTAATCTTTGCAGCCTCAAACATTTTTAGCATTACCATGTGCCTCCCCCACATCCTCAGTCTAGAAGAAAGATGTTTAATCCCTTGCATACTTCAGGTTCTCATAATAGGAGACTTCATTGCATTGACTTAGCCCATCAATAACATCTAACTTTAATCTGGAAGTAAAATGAGTTTTCCAAACAAACAAAAAAGAGCTTTTTGTATTATGAAGTACTATGTCAACAACATTCGTAGAGGTGCATATTATAAATAAACAAAAAAAAAGAATTTTTAAGAGATGAAATCTGTAATCCATGAGCATGGAAAGGAGGAGGAGTTTCAACTGTTAAAGAACATGATATATTTATGTGTTTACAAAATACCATATTTACCAACCAGTCATGCAATATTTCCAGGAAAACTATACAACATACATTAATTATAAGGGGTGTTGGATAATACGTAGGGTAGCAGGCATGCTATTCAATTTTCTGCCTTTTTTTAGTATTATCACAGTACTAGAGGACCTTCTCATGTGTTCAGGGAATGCAAACAGCTACATTATGGCTGCTGCCTACACTGTAGGAGAAGAAAAGAAGCTCTCAGAATAATTTTTTCCTCCTTTAGCCAGCACATCTGCATATGACCACGTGTAATTTTTCACAAGAGAAATGTAATTTACCTTTCTGGTGCATAAATTGTCCCACTATACAAAAATGAAACAATATTGTGTCTGGATCTGTTTTTATACATCTCTAGTAGAATTAGAGGGAGTTGAAAATTATAGTAATTTATAATGTATATAAAGAAAACCTTGTTTATTATGACCCTACACACATACAAGGAATTTGGGCAAGAGTGGTTATGCTTTCATCAATTTTAAAAGCAGAAATCAAGAAAGATAATTTTGCAGTATCTCCCTTTTGAAAGAATAAACATACCTGGATTCTAGGTCATGAGTTTAGGTGCAGTCCAAACTGATAGTAACTGAAAATTACTTTATGAAATGGTTTCATTTCAACTGTCACTGGGCAGTAAGTGAAAATCTTTTCATTTAAGAATAAAAATTACATTATTCATGTTAAGCTCAGAACACAGTAAATAAAAGAACTGCTGTTTTAAGGAGATACTGAAATGAGTCTACAGTGTGAGCATTTGGGTTGCTGGTGTATCCTCTGCACCAGTTGAGCAAGGAAAAGTCTGCTAAAGCATGGCTTGCCAATTTTATTCCTCCTAGAAATGTCAGTGAACTTCTAGCTAAAAAGCAAGCCCACCAGATTAGATATCTAGTCTGCACAGTGATTCTTCTCTTACAAGACCAGATTCAGTGGCAACATTTCTTTAACACTTCAGCTAATTCTGACATAGAGCCTTAATTTGGTAAGTGATGATGTCCAAGTAGCTGAAGTTTAAAAAACATTTCAAAATAGAAGGAACTGGAAGAAAGAAATAAAGAATATATAAAATTGTTTCTATGTTATCTACAAATTTATATAATTGTAATTTCATAGTATCACAATTTTGTGTTTTCTAGTAGAAGAACTGGATTCATTGCTGACCTCCCAGAATACATTCATAGCAAAATTAAAGGAAGAATGTTTTGTATTGGCAAAGAAGTTGGAACAAATGTCAGAAAAGTACAGGTTAGTATATTTTTGTTAACCTGACCCTTTTATTACTAGGACATGCTTCTTTATCTTTTTATTTGTATTTTAATATTTATTATTTTTTATTTTGTCCCAGGTATTACATATCAATGTAATATATGCCCCTTAAAAATTCAGTATAATATGCCCCTTAAGATTTTGTTTCTAACTAATAATTCAAATTTCTTGGACAATTCCAATGTAAAAATTGCATAGTATTTTCTTCCTTGTGTTCATAATCTGAATATGAACAGTAGAAAATTGTTTCTACAATTCAAGTTTATCTGAAGTTATATGAAAAATGCTAAAGATTCAATAATCTCAAACTGTTGTAATTTTATTTATTTACTCTAGTACTCTTTTCACAGTACTACACTACGCACTGGATATTGTCTATAAAATAATTGTCATCAAAATTGCTTGTCATTGATGCTCTGATTCTGATGCTGCTTTTTATCAATCAACAGTAGGTCTAAGTTCAAAGCGATTAAAAACTGAGGAAGGGAGCAACACCTGGAAGTAATAATAATTTAACGAAATACAAAGCTGTGGAGGTATCTGTTCAAAAGTTCTGTAAGACAGAACTATATTCTAAAGAAAACATGAATTTTGTAATTCTTTAGCAGAAATAATTTGATTTTACATTTTTAAGTGTAAAAATAGTATCTGTTGAAATTTTATTGGGGGTTCATATTTAGAGTAGTAAACTGGACTTCAGTGGAGAGTTGGCATTCTGTAGCTTCTGTAAATTGCGTGCAAAGTGAATTTGGTAATTAGGGTTAGTATTCATCTCATGGCCGATGAGAAGTAAGGAAAACACTCAGCAGAGGTAAAATTGGTTTTCAAGACAGAATTCTTCTGCTGGGTGGATTTAATCATCCTTTTGAGGTAATGAAGAAGAGGCAGAACTCACTCAGGGAGAGAGCTCATTTACCCCAGTACCCTCTTCCAAGGAATGGTCAAAGGAGAATTTAGGTAGATGACAGACACACACACACATATATATATGTCTGTAATAAATAAAATTTATGTTTCCCATGTGTACTGTCTCCACTGCCCATCCTACTTCCCACTGAATATAAAGTGTTGACTAGCTGTTAAGTGTCTGAAGTTTGGAGATGAATCCCATCCAGAGTGTTTGGGGAAGAAATGAGAAACTTGAGGGACTGTAAGCAATATTCCCATGCAAGTGTTGTGAGGGATACTTGAGAGAGAAGCAAAGAGAATTTTTCCTCTGAAAAAGAAGAGCTCTTCTGCTAAAGTAATGCAAAATCTAAATGGATTCAAATCATATTATTATTCCAGCAATAAAAAAGCACACAGACTTTGTTGCTAGAGCTCACAGTCACAGACTAGTAACTGTAAAGGATGAAGGAAAGACAGAAAACATACTGTGAAAACACATTATTCTCTGAAAATAAATACTAGAGATTGCCAAGTGTTTCTCCACCTAGCAGCATTAGCTGACTATGTCAAGGACCTGAAAATGGGAAAAGGAGCCCTCTTGCATTTCCAGGAAGTGGTATTTTTTATACAAGAAACTGTAAGGAAGAATGCATGAAAGTGGTTCTGAGAAGTGGTCCTAAAATAGCTTGAGCTTGCCTTCATTGGAGTGGGAGCTGCTGCAATCAGTTACAGGGATAGAGAAATAGGTAGAGACAAAAAAAAGAATGTAAAAATGAGAACAGCAAGGTGGAACTGGAGGTGGTGGAAAATGACAGACTAATATAGATGGCTTCACAAAGTGATGTGATCAGGAGATCAATGCAGAAAATTTTTTTAGCCAAGTTCTAAATGCATGATGGGCACATATCCCTCAGTAGCACCTCTCCAAAAGGCAGTCTTCAGCTCGTTGTCACTGAATGTTGTGTAAAACCACATTATGGTACAGAATGCTGTAGTTTTGTCTTCTGCAAAAAAGCGATAATTTGAGGAAGATTTTATAATTTAGTTCTTATGTACATTAATAAAGGCAGATCACAAAGCAACAGTGTACCCTATTTTCACAGAAAATACTTTTCCTTTTTTTCCATATTTTTGACATTACTATAAATTGAATTTTGGATCCGAATGTGTATTTTCTTGCTGTACTTCTGGAATCTTTGTGCCTTGTTTTCCATGGGTTTAAGATATACCTGTGTGCTACCAATACCATTATTTAATTGGTAGAACACTCAAGCTCTTTTAATAACAGATGCAATAGTAAGGTTTTTTAAATTTTATTTTGTTTGATAGGAAGTGCCCATTTGTAACAAAAGACATTTCAAATTTATCTGTGACAACAATGTATTTCTACAATATCAGCTGAATGATCTGAGTGGCACATATATTTTTATATTTAATGAAGGTTTTCTGAGAAATCTCAGTTGAAGTTTTTGTGTTTATATGTAAGCTGGAACCATTTTTTGAGCTAGTCCCTACACAGAGAGGTGTCAGAAAGACAATGTCAGACGAATTATAAACCCCTCAAGCTGTGCAGAAACAAGATAGTGTCTGTGAAGGTTTTCGTATGCATAGGCATGTTTAAAAATATAGCCCTTTGTTGATTTCTTCTCTGTTTCTCTCTTGTTTTGTTCTTTCTTTCCCTCTGATTGTCACTGTCTGAGTTTCTGGGTTGTAGATTAATGCTTAACACTACCCACTGTGTATTTGTGATTTGCGTTTTGTAATTAAGGGGAACAATGGGAGTCCATTGGGTCTCGTTATATATAATGGTTGGTTTAATTTGTTTCACTTCTATCTTGTTAATTGTAAATTGATCATTAAGATTTGAATTCTAATCTGTCACCAGGGTTGTGAGTATTGAAGCTAGAGCAATGATCCTGGTTTTAATCACTGATGATGAGAAACAAATTTTATAATTTTGGTACATATTGCAGTTCATATATTTTAACACTGTATTTTATGGTGTTATAAATATTGTTAAATGACTTTTAGTGTAGTTTTAGTGTTTGGACTATAATGTATAAATTATATTACTGGTTTGGCAACAGTAGGCATCCAACTGTGTGAGTTTAATTGAAGTAAAGAACACATACCCGGCTGAACTATTTTCCTGCCTGTTTGGTTGACTGCAGTCGTTGCACTCAATACCAGGAGTGAAATGTTTGTTGAAGGTAGCTGTATGAAGATGGGGAACAGTCTGTCTGAAGATTTAGTCATTAAAATTAGATGCAATAATATTGCATCAGCAGAAAATATTTTAGGGCATGTGTTTAATTTCTGTGCAAGTAAACAATTGGTTTTCAGAGCAGGAAAAAGCAGTGTTTAAAAAGCACTGAAATGAAAAAGCTAGTTCAGCGGAGTAAATGCAGCACTGCCACCTTATTTTCAAAAATCAGCTCCTCCTAAAGATATCCTGAGATTGACTTTGAATTTTGACTATTTAACATTTTCACCTTTTTTTTTTTTCTTTTAGTATTTAAGTGGTTTGGAGGCTAACCTGTTTGGGTTTTTTTCCAAGATTGTTCCAGCAAAGATGGTAGATGAAACCTTAAAGTGGTTTTTAAATAGAAGCTGAGGTAGTTAAATGGATCCAGAAGTATTGAGGGGGTTTGTTTCTGTCGTTGCTTCTGCCCCCATCAATTATATTTGATATAGTAACAAGTAAATGAGACTTGGCAAAATCTATTATGCATCCAATTACAAGCATGCATTTTACATTTTCATGTGATGTTGTAGCTTTGCTCTGTGCAGTTTCAAAATAACAATGATTTCATACAGGTCATTTGAGTGTATGAGATCTCAGAAGCACACACAGCTCTGTGACTGCCTGGCTTGTGGGGCCGGCCTGAGTCTGCAGAGGTGCCCCTTCCTGCTGAGTTCAGCTCCAGTGGCAGCACTCCAAATGCCCGCATGCTTCAGTTTCTACTGAGTCCACCACAGCTTATTGCTCAGGCTGTTGGACCCAGAGTAGCTCAGATGGAACAACATCAGCACATCCATGCTCTGCCCTTTAGTTGTGCAGGATGCATCAGACACAGTGATTATTGCACAGATTTCTCTAATTTGCCTCTGTCCCCAGCATTGTGAGTGAACTATCTCTGAAGTTCAGCACTGCATACTTTGACATTTCCCCCCTCTCTTTTCCTGCTGTGATACCTTGGGAGCAGAGTTGTTCAAAAGCATTTACACAGGAGTGGTCCTGGCTGAGTGGAATTTCTACTCCTGTATAAATGTGCTATAGCATTCAGTACAGTTATCAAGCTTAGTACAATTGTGGTGGGTTTGGGGTTTTTATTTAACCCAGCAGTGTGTGAAGTTATTTAAATATCACATAGAATTAGCTGTCTTCTTAATCTTTGGAAACTGAGGTGAATGAAAGGTGCGTTTAAAGATGCAGAGGGAATCATTGACAAGTGACAATGGAAGATTCTTGGTATACAGTCTTGTATTGGACTGGTGTTCTCTCTAATGCTAACACTGAACCTTTTAACATGGACCTAACCATTCTGTCTTTCATATGTGCTGTCCTTCAAAACTTCAGTGTCATTAAATACTTGAGTCTTGGGGGTCAGACTCTTAGTTACATGGAAAGGACATTGTGTTAGTAATGTCATAATTAGAATTTTTTTTTCTGTTTAACTGTAATTACAAAAGATGTTTTAGGAGGAAGCAACACTCATGGTGTGCTTCAAAGCATCGGGCATTTAGAGCTCTATTTTAGAGACTGGAGATTATGATACTAATGGTTTTAATTAATTCATTACTTACTTTGGTTTCATTAATTATAATTTCAGTAGTGTTTTGGTTTTGGTTGATTTGAATTACTTGATCTTTCCAGAAAGACTTTGGGCACCTTCAAGTGTAATGGAGATTAATAAGTCCTTGTGAAACTTGGAGAATTTTATCACCTTGAAAGTTGCTTCTGCTGTTTCCATGAATGAGACAGTCATATATAAATACAAAAATAGAAACAGGATCTCCTCATTGGGAAACCCAACAAATGTGATAATTTACAGTATTCCTACATGGCAAATGCTGTTGCTGAATTTTGCTGGCAAAAAAGGAATGCAGAATTGAATTTAGTCCCATGTCAGGTCTCTTTGAGCTTCTCTGCAGTGAAACTTTGCTTTTATCCACTGGTTGTCTGTCTTACAGTATCAGTATCAAGTGCAGACTGCATTCACATTGTGTGATAACAGTTGGTCCAGCTGGCAGTGCTTTGTTAATGCTGACATTTAAGTTACTAGTATTTCTGTAAAATGGTCGGTGGAAAAATTCAGTTTCTGCTACCTTCCTATAACATCCTGCCCACTATTATGTATCCATCCAGGAAACTCCTGTGCACTGAAGTTTGATGTAGAAATCTATCGGCACAATTCTGATGTATTTGTGTGTGATCTTCCTTAATAGAGCTGTAACTCTCAATCTAAATTCAATTACATACAGTCTCGGTCCAAAGTTTCCTTTTCTAAGTTCTTTTAGATTCACAGATGATACCATGCATTGTTCTCTATTTAAACATGAAAAGATCATGTTGTCATTTCTAGATTTGACTTGTCAATGTAACAACATGTTTTTGAAGGAAGAGTATTCCTTCCTCCCTGCATTTTGTTGTATTTTTCAGAATGTCAGTTGTTGTTGCATTCTGTAACAGCCAGGAAGGTAAAGTATTTCTGCTGTAATTGCAGCATATTTAAGTTTATGATTTAAAGATATATCTGAAGCTTTTTAACCTTGAGATATGGAGTGGCAGATGCCATAAATCAAATTTGCTTGCTTTTGATTCGTACTTTCTGATGGTATAGCAGATTCTGACATGTTCTCATTAACCTTTTCCAAAGAGTTAAAATTGTACAAGTGCATAATGTATATTTTATCACTATTTAATCTGAGGTCTTTTCCTGATATTAAGAAACAGCTCATGCCTGTTTCTCCATGGGCTGATGGTTAGAGATGTAGCAAGTAGCAGTCCCAGGTCATTCATGGATCTGGTGTCTCTGCTCACCCGTGAAGAATAAGAATTGCTTAGAAGTGACTAATATTCTTAAAGGCTGTGCTGAGTTTTATGTAGATTAGTGTGTGCCTGTATGATTTGTCCCTTGTTTCTGAAAGTTTAGTTAATTTTCCTCTTAGTGAGGCTTTGGGTTTTTATTGGGAGTGAGTGTTTTTTGGGGGGGACGGGTTTATGGGGGTTTTGTTGTTGATGTCTTTTTAATCTGTGCAATGTTATTTTAGACACAGGAGGTTACTACAGTTTCTAAAACAGTACTACTATTGAGAGTTCAACCTGTGAACTGTTGAGAGTTCAACCTATAAAACAGAGTAAAGGTTGAACAAGGTTTTAGTAACTGTTTTTTAAAATGAAATGTTAGCTTTTGCTAATAAAGAAGTTAAAATGTGTTTTCAAAATGTTAGCCAAATTCTTGCTTAACAAGTATGAATTTACATTTATTGATCTTATTTAACATAGATGTATAAAGCCAAATGGCATGCCTGTTTAAATTAGTCTGAAATTAGCACAGCCAACCTATAATTGAGTGATTGCCAGTGGCATATTTAGAAGATACCCACCAGTATCATATTCTTTTGTCTTGAGATTATCTGAAACAGCATTTGGTTTCTGTAAGTTCTAGTAATAGCTTGTTTATGCATTACATATAAATGTATGAAATTTTATAAATGCTGAAGCCACATATTGATGGCACACTGCAGGATAAAATCTGACAACATCCATCATCGCTTTGTTTTACTTCTGTAGATCTGAAGTCAACCAGCTTAGTCAGGAAAAAGAGTATCTTCATGGCAGATTGGAGAAGATGCAGAAACGGAATGATGAATTGGACCAACAATGTATCCAGCATGGGAGAATGCATGAGAGAATGAAGTCAAGGTAGGAGGTCCTGTTAATCTGTCAGTATGTGATATGCTCAACTGTACCGGTCGTGTTGTGTAAACATAAAAATGACACGAGGTTGTGTGAAAGTAATATTCTTTCCTTATGAAATGACCACTCCTTCCCCCTCCCCAACCATTCTGTCAAGTTGTTTTTTTTAACATCTTTTGCTTGTGCCATTTTGGATAAATAAAAGGAAAGCTTGAACAACATAGTCTTCACAAGAATTTAAACCTAGTACATATGTGTGTGGGCTGCTTCGGCTGTTCTATGCTCTAACTTGTATGAATAGTCTTACCATTTAAAAAAAAAATGGGAGGGGGGAACTGGGAAGGAAGGAGGGAAGAGGTTATTCAGTGATGTGAATGTAGAGTACAGATGTGTGTTCCATTATGCCATGTAATAGTTGTACTTTTGGGGTTTACCATCATTTGTACAAACAGACAAATTTTACTGAAAATCACAGTAACCAGAGAAATACCATTTCCAGGCACCACTAGCCTTTCAGAGAAGCAGTGACTTCCTCAGGATGAGCTGGGAGCAGCTGCAGCAAGGCTAGTGTGAAATACTTTCACCAATATCAATTGACTGTTCTGGCCAGAATCTCCAGACTGATAATGGCTTGTGCTGTGATATGGATTAGACTTCCTCAGGGATCACTTTGGAGTCTTTTCCTTTTGGGTCCAGAAAGTTCATCTATGCTTTCTTATTCTGCTTTCCACTCCACATTAAGTGTAACAGGCACTGGAGGTCGTTTTGACGTGCTTGTGGTGGTAGAGGATGAAGTGAAGGAAAGGCTGAGACGTAACTCTGCAAATCCACTCATCCAAGCTACATCTTGTCTGTAGTCAAGGGCAAAATGCAGTTTAACTTTATTTGGACTAGACAGCCCTTACTGGGAAAAATTCTTTTTGCTTTTTTTCATCGTTGACCACCTGAGAGGAGCAGAGCTTGCAAGTATAGCAGCCAGTCCTCTATGCTCATTTCTTTAAAGTACTGATTTTTAATTTTTTTTTTACTGCCATCTCTTTATTCTCTGTCTATAATCTTGTTTCTTGCAAGCACTTCATGTGTTCATCTCAATCATCCAGAACCGCTTCTTTCCTCTTCCCTTTCAGATTTCTGTCTGTACCTCATCCTGTTCTCCTGTAACCTTGGGTTGTCATCATCATTTATAGCTCAGAGAACAGAGAAATTCAAAATGCTGCAACTGTGTCCCTAATCTGTGTAACTACACAGTCTTTCCATTTATCTCACCTCCCTTTTGATTTCTTTAGTTATGGTGGATTCTCATCATATGGAGAACTGAGGATTTGAGGTTATTTTCAGGAGAAAAAATTTTTCCCCCTCTTTTTTCTCCTAGCTGCTCTTCTACAGATTATGAGTATGTAGTAGAATTTAAAAGTGCTTTGCAAGTTTTTAGGGTAACCTTTCCTCTATCTATTTTTATAAATAAGATAGATCTACTGTAAAACGTTGCTCATTCTCTGCTGCAGCAGCAATGATTCTACAGTAGAAAAGACTGAAAGCATTTATCGAGAACACAAAAGTGGTTTGAAAGCAGAGTGGTCATGCTGCAGGCAATGCCTTACCTTCTGCTGCTGTTTTGCAGACAACAGAGAAAACAGGGCAGTAATAGCATTTGTCTTATTTAATATTTTAGAATATGTAAATATGGCAGAGATTATTAGGTGTTCTAAACATGAACAATATACTTTACCAGCATTTTAAGAGATGACTCTTTTAACATATTTTTAATTGTCATCTTGCACTCTATTAATTTAAATTCCAACTAATAAGTGACAAGGCTGATACTCTACACTGCTTTAAAAAAATCAGTGTAATCTAATTTTATTTTTCTATGTGAAAACTGTAGTTGATTTTCAGGATTAATTCCCAAATGCTGTAAATTGGTCATGAAGTTTACAAATCAGTTGGATATATTTATGTTGAAGGATTTCCACTAAATAAAAATAGTGATTTTTCTCTTCTGATTTTGAAAATAGATATCTGACTTTACTATTTAGTGAAAGCAGAACAACAAATAATAATAATGTATTTTGCCTCAGATTTTCATCCATCACTTAGATCCTAATAATCTCAGCAAAATACTGTTGATGATGGTTACTTCTTAATACATTTGTTTCGCCTTTGTATTCTCCTTTTTATACACATAGCAGCTACAAATAGCAGTGGCTGTTTTGCAACACAGTCCCACAAAGTGCATTCTGACCTAATTTTCTAGCTGCTGTTATTCTGGAGCTTCAGAAAATCTCTCTTATTAAAATGATTTTGGCTAAACTTGGAACCTAACATTTGCATTTTAAAAATGGGGTTTTGTGATATTTGTGTGAGAAGATATCACTGTCCATACTTGTTTTATCCAGGGACAGCATGACAGGCCCTGATATAACTATTTTGTGGAAGAAACAATACCTAAATGTTTAGAATTTGTTTTGGAGCAAAAATGCTTTGGCAATCATAATGGTTGCACTCCTGAAACTGAACAAGAAAAGTGTTTTAGTGCCATTCCTACCTCTGTGTGATGCAAATAAATATAGTCCAAAATTAAATGAGCAAATTTCTAAGAAAGAGATTACTTTAAGTGCCACTCATTAAACAGGATATGGAATCAGCCTTTTCAGTGTAATGGAAATACCCAGCCCTTTTGGTGTGCTTTTACTCAGTGAAATATGGCATTAAAAGAAAGTAGATGTCCATCCTAAATTATACAATTGTCACATATTACTGAGGCAGACTTGAATTGAAGGATGTATGGTTTGCAGGACTAACTAAGGTGATATGTTATGAGTCCAAGTGGAGCTGGTCATCATGTGTATCTTCCTGGATATGAATCTTGCTGAAATTCTTGTCTGTTATGTAGCAGAGTCCATTTTTATAAATTTTTAACCTCAAAGCAAACTGTCTTATTAAATTCTTCAAATTCCCATTCTGTAGATTTGCGTTCATAGTAGAAATTAGTAGATAACAGAAAGTATAAAATTTCTTATAAGGCAGCTGTAAAGGTAGGAACTAGCCAAGAATAAAAAGACTATGAAACAAAACTAAAAGGTTTCTATCTTTTGGGGTTTTTTTTTTGGTGCTCCACCTTACATAATTTGAATAGATACCAGATGAAGGAAAATTCAAAGCTAGATGAATTTGCTAACTGTATGTATAAAGTTGGTTCATTCTTTCCTTAATCTGTTTTCAAACTGAATTCCCAGGTGTGCATTTTCACCTCTGTAGTTAGACCTGTTATGTAAACACTTTCTCACAAGGTCTTTTCTCTTCCAATTTGAAGAGTAAGAAGAAAAAGACAAGAACCTGTCTAGATCTATTATTGTTTGAACATATATATGAATAAGTATCATTTGCCCAAGCTGCCATGGGTCAGGATTTCATTAGGATGTTTGAACTTTCACTGAACTTAATTGACAACTCTTATAGTTACAAGGTTCAATCATGGCTTTACTTTTCTTCATCTGTTCTTCTCGTAAAACAAGTGTTTGATTGTAACTCAGCTATTTAGAGGATTGCTTATGTGGACAGCCAGTATCTAAAATGAGAGGCATTTAATGAAATATAGCTTAGCTCATTTCCATGTATGTTTCCTGTTGAAGACCTTCAAGCAGGAAAAGAAAATCCTAGGAAACTTCTTTCCTTTTTTCAAGATGAGCCAGACATGCCTTTACTTTTTATGAAGCAGTTAAAGAAAATAAAATCATTTGGACAGTAGTTTATATGAAATATAAGACTATTTTTAAATCTTTTTATTAAAACACAAAATTAGAAGCTTCTAATGGGTTTCTTTCCAAACATTTTTCTAAAGTTCAGCATATGGAATTTGGGGCTATGAATTTTCTCTCAGATCTTGTGGTTATGGTTCATATTACTGTAATTTTTGCTGTAATGTGTGTGATCAATGTCCAATCTGTATAACATTGACAACAATAATACATCTAATGCAAATCTGTGTGGGGCTTTTTGTTGTGGGAGCTTTTTGGAGGTGACACTGTTAGACGTATTTCGACTGTATTTTTGCTAGCTAAAGTTAAAAAGAAGAGCCTACAGGACTGGCAGTTTGGGGCAGATGTGTGTCTATTCCTTAGGCATCAGTGGTTGTAAGTTAACTATAAAAATGTTACAACCATCTGTGTAACAAGACGGCAGAGATCTGCTCTTGCCTGTTACTATAAATAAGAAGGAGATTTGTTTGACTTCATAGACATTGGATTTATAAAGACTCTATGTGTCAAATTGGAACTACGTGCCATGTTGCTGAGATGTGTCTGCAGCCAACTACCTGGGGTGTCTTCCCCTTCAGACATTCTAGTGTGGTGCAGCAACTGTGCAGAAATGTCTGTATGGCACAACATGTGACAAATTCTATTTGTTTTCTACCTATGGCAAATGTAGGATTCTTATGGATAAGCTTATCTGTAAGGGTAGCTAAAATGGATCTTTAAAAACAGACCACTCGAGTGAAAATGTGATACTCAGTTTGACAAAGATTGTAAAGGTTATTTCCTACCATTAATTTGTTTTGTTTTGTTATAAAGTGGTAGTGTATGCAAGATCATGTATGCTTAAGAGAGCACATATCTATGGGAATTAAGACATATCTAGAGAGAATTCACCAACATTTTCAAATATCTGCTATGTAAAATCACAATAGCTAGTTTGCTGTCACAATTACACTGCTGAATAGAAATTTCAGATTTCTTGTCAAATCTTCAGTAGAACTAGTCATTAAAATTATTAATTGATAACTAGAGCAATCAAGTTGCATTTGAAATTTTACATTTTCTCCTTAAAACTGAAGTACTTTTTTGTGTGTATATGTGTTTGCAAGAAACAATGATGGATGGATGAATTTAGGTTATGTCATTACCTGAAAGACCTTGATTTTCTTCCAGTCCACTTCACTCAGTTAAATACATTGTCTTCCTTATTTTACCAGTAGATTAGTATATTTTTTAAAGTGACAATGAGGT